CCCTATATGAACCAGAAGTTTTTGAGAGAGGCCTTGATGTCAGCGATTGGGGTCGCAACACTAAACCATCCGAGTTAACGATAAAATGGCATGTGCCTTCCTCCGATGAGATCGGCCTTGCCGTTGAAATATTCGAGTCTCAAGTAAAGACCTCGATCGAGAAGCTTGACAATTTAACCAGCGATTCTCCATCCGTTTCACGTAAGGGTAAGAACAAAGAGTGGTCAGATGAAGTTGAAAGAGCTCTCACGCATATTCGGTTGATGATGTCCGGTGTTTCTGTCCTATTCGATCCCAAAGCAGCCTCCGGGAATTTACATGGGGAGTTTGATTCAGACAACGACATCGCTATGAATGGAGATAACCCCATGGAAGGTGATGATGATCCTTTAGCGGAAGCTTCCGAAGATGAGGAAACCAGACCTCAATTCCATTATCGTGCAGGATACCTTTTGGAGAAAGACAGCCCAGCATATGTTCGTATACACAAACTTCGCGAAGATGTTGGCCACCTATATTGCAAGATGCACAACTTTCTGATGACATATCAAGAAGATGATGTTCCTTGTTTCACCGCGCTTTACTTGGCATACAAATCATGGATCACAGATGTTGGCAATGAGAAGTCTGCTCATACCTTGGAACGAATGAACAAAATCTACCTCTCAGAGATTCGGTCTTTCAAAGTTACTGGGCTTAGGAAGGTATATCCAAGACCCTTGTTGATAAAACGCGCTGGAAGCTATCACTTACAGCGTTCTAAACACAACGCGTCGGCACGACAGAAGTCGGATCTTGATAAGGAACTTCTTTTGAATCTAGCAACATCAGCCATCTCCCAGTATGCCGAAGTTCGAGTCACGGCTCAGCAAGCCATGGAGTCAGCTTTGAAGAGCGTTATTGGCGGTCGACCCCTAGTTGTACCCCAGTTACTAAGTGCCTTTAGAACAGCTTTGGAAACAAATGATTTTGACCGGATCAAGGGGTGTCTTTATACGTTATTATTTGGTAGTCTTACGAAAACAATCTCCAAAGATTGGCGGTTTGCGCCAGAGCTGATTGATCTATACATCAAGTCTGGATCTGTCGATAAACCCTCTATTCAAAAGGTAGGTAATACTGCCATGTACGGAGGATTGATTGAATTTGGCAGAAGAATGGAGACCCTTGTTGTCCTCGACCAAGCTCTTATTCAAGAAATAGAACCACAAGAAGATTGTCACTCCACTATTAAGACCAGGAACGACTTCATTATTGGACGACGTGTTAGAGTGGAAGAAAAGAAGTGGAAGTTAGCAGTGGAGCTTACTGAATTTGCAAAAACTGCTCACTGGAAGCTTGCCGGGCGTTGTACTTTATTCATCAACAATTTGGGTCTCCGAGTGCAAACACTTGCACCGCCTGAAATGATTGAGCTCGCTACGTTAGGAGCCGTCACTGAACATCCCGGGCTTCGAGCAGCTCATACTGAATTCATGACTCGCATCCTGAATCACATTGAAACTCGTGCTATTTATGGCCATAGCTTCGAGAAGTATATTCGCGAAGAGGAATGCCAGCCTAACAAGCTCGAGATTTCCGTGGATAATAAAGACCCCAAGTGGACCAAGAAGTTCTTGGACTCCTTCGCCGAGCCTGGACAGCCAGAATATTATTTGGATCGCGATTGGCCCGGATGGCTTGTCTGGGGTAAGAGCTTTTATGCTATGCGAGCAGATCCTATAGAATTCACGGATTTCGATGAGCTAGAAATTTCGGCGAGAAAGCAGATCGGATCTCTGTTGACATTAGACTGGTATCAAAAGTTCTTCATGTACATGAAGCAAGAACCAAGAGACACCTCTGCAGATCGATTCCGAGTGCAGAACACAACTTTACTTGTTCAAACGTTCGAGTTGATGCATTCCGGACTCACTTCAGCCAACTTTGATGATATCAAAGAAGAGGTCAAAAAAGTATACGAAGATGGTAGTGACAAACATCAGCATCGTGCAACAGCAGAGATCGTGGCTGGCCTTATGCTTTCCACATATGACTTTCCGAACAAGAAACGTGATGAGGTTTGGGCTTTCTGTTTACCTATCATGTTAAATGTCTTCTCCGAAGGGTTGACACCAGAAAATTTGACTTACTGGGTCACCGGTCTTCATATGGTTATCGGTGGAAGAGACCCCAGGTCATCAAGAGAACTTTTTGATTTCCTTGTTTCATTCCGGTTAGATATTACCTCCAATGCAGCCTTTAAGGATAGTTCCAAGATTCAGCTCTTGGATGTTGCTATCTCTGATGCTGGTTGGCATTTCCGCAACGACGAGCCCATCCTACGAGATTTCCTGGACCACATTGACCACCCGTATAAAGCTGTGAGAGAAGCAATTGGCCGCGCAACTGCTACCATATATCGTATGAGATACTTTGAGGCATTCAGAGATGTGGATACTCTTCTAGAGGCGAACAAGTCGGCTTCTTCCATTGGTATCAAACCTTACGAACCCACGGAAGATTTCTCTTCAACCATCCGAGACGTCTTTAAGCGACTAGAAGCTTGGCGTGGTCAGCGAAATCCGGGTGAGCAAACACCAACCTCGTATACCAATGGTAGCAAAACTGTATTGTTATGGCTTGATTCCACTCTGCAATCTTACGAATGTACCCAGCTTATTAGTTTCTTCCCGAACGTATTTATGGAGCAACTGTTACATATGATGGATGTCAAAGAAGATCCAGAACTCCAACGTCTTGCTTATCACGTATATCGCCACCTTCCCAATATCCCGTTCCGTGCTGGTGAAGATGGTGAGTTTATCTCGGCCCTCATCCGTATCGGCAAGGTATCCACATCATGGCATCAACGTTTACGAACCTTGATCAACATGCAAGTAATCTATTTCCGTCGCATATTCCTCATCCGACCCACCGAGCAACAAGCTCTCTTCACAGCCGTTGCCGAGATGCTTGAGGACCCACAACTCGAAGTCCGCCTTGGTGCATCTACTACACTTGCCGGCATGATTCGATGCTCACCCATCGTTCTTCGCAACAATATTCTATCTACTTTGCGCATCAAATTTACACAAGCACTCAAGAAGAATCCTATGCCAAAGAAAGTACAAGGTGTAAGCACACCAGTAAACTCAAATGCTCAGATTATTAAAAGACATGCCGCTGTTCTCGGATTGGGTGCCTTGGTTAACGCATTCCCATATGCAACACCGCCACCCGAATGGATGCCAGAGGTATTGGCTACTTTGGCAAGTAGAGCTGCAAATGATGCTGGTGCAATTGGAAAGACTGTGAAGAGCGTGTTGGCAGATTTCAAGAAAACTCGGCAGGATACTTGGGTAACGGATCAGAAGGTATGTTCCTGTCACTCTTTTGTCTTCTGCATTACTTTTTTTTTAAAGCATATAACTAATCGTTCACAACAGTATTTCACACCCGAACAGTTGGAGGATTTAGAAGGCGTGCTCTGGAAATCCTATTTTGCATAAGGCACACGTCGTAGTGGCACGATACTTCGGGTAGAGCTTACGATGGTAATTGAGATCTATGTCAAATGGTTTTGGAGAGCATGGTTGATGATAACATGAATGGGAGTTCTCTTTTCATCCGGTTAAATTACTAGTATACCCCTCAAAGTATGTTCTCGATCCGAGCTATGATATAAACAAGAAGATACACATGGTATAGGTTGACTCTTTTCGCTTGCTTGGGCTAGGACTAAAATCACGAATATAAAATGGGATATTGAGACGTCAAAACGTTGAGAATGGGACGGAAAGGGATACAATGTGTTATGGCATGAAATATGATGAATAAATAAGAGTCGTTGATACCATTGATGATTTTGTGGTTATGGGTATCTGTCTGTGCTGAGCATTGATGTCGCATTGCATTTGGTAGCGTAGACTTTAGGGAATACAAGCTAATTTGTATGTGTCGTTTGACATGAATATGAAGATTGTGAGAGTTGGGGTGAATGATGAGTTTAGTGTTGGGTTTGTGCTATTCATGTTGCCTGAGGGGGTAGGTTGTGAGAGTATGATATAGTATGTTGGACATCTCTGAGAATATTCCATACGAATTGTACTGGATATTTGCAGCGTGGAACTGAAGTCTCTAAGGGTGGGATAGATAGAGTAGATAAAGTAGGTATCTGATGGGTTTATGGGCTCTTGTGGAGGTGGGATGAACCGCGAGGGAGATTTAAGTATGTGGAAGGTAAGATAGGTGGTTAATCGGAGTGTGAGGGGTTTTGTGTGTTTGTTCTGATTTTTGTGTTGCTTTAGGGGAGGAATGGTTGTGTTTCTGCCATGTTGCATATACAATTTAAGTATTGTTAAGGAGGAATATTGAAGGGATGTTGGGGAATCTGTATACACATGTACGTATTTCGACTCGACCTCGAAGTAGATGCTAACGAATCAGACAGCGAAGGGGGGAAAGAGTATTGGGATTGAATTCGGAATATCCGGACGAATGCAGATGGATGCAGGTGGATGTATTAGACTATTGGTATCTCTCTGAGAGGATATTTGGTGGAGGAAAAGAGATGTTGTGAGGTTTGGAATTTTCTAGCTTTTGCGAATCTCTTCGTATTTGTATGTTTTCTTACTATATGTAGGTAGGTAGGTATTTATATGCAGTCTTTGTATGCATCTTCTATATTGAAGAATATCTCCCTCCTCTCTCCCTCAAAACTTCCATTCTGTCTGCCTACGATATTCGAGTAACTGGGCATAAAAACAACCAAAATCTCACCTCTTCCCTCCTTCCCATCTCATCAAGCCATCTTACAAACTCACAAGATCGAAAATATTCCAGTAGCATTCTTCGCATATCTTCTTTACAAACCACTGTCATGTAGTGAGATACTGTATCCCATCTACACACATACACCGCCCAACTCAATCAACAATCCCATCTCTCTTCCCCTTCCTTCTCCAACCTCCCACTCAACCCTCGTTCCCAAAACGGCATCTTCTCAAACCCCAATTCCCATGCCCCCACGTCCCATCCCCGCTCTAATATCACAAGTCCCACACTCGTTATCCATCGCTCAGCCCAGCCCAGCCCATCCCATCCCATCCCATCCCATCCAAACCCAACCCAAAACCGGAAATCCGCAAATCCACGCCCAAAAAACCCTCCCCTTCCCTTCCACTCCCTTCTCCCACCCTTCCAATCTAATCTCCCCCTCCGATCCCCTATCCCCAAAGAAGAGAAGAAAAGAAGAAAAGAAGAAAAGAAACGAAAGACGAAGCAAAAAACCACCCACTGTGGATCCCCCCAACGGCTGGGTACCCAAATCCCGCACTTTCTGGTACCGAGAAACATGGGTTCACCCGACCCAGCAATCCCACCCATTTCCCTTCCGCGTCTTCGAGAACCCGCATCCCGGTGGAGAGGATGGATCCTCGGGGGATTAACTTATCTCGCTGCATAATCTTGGGCCCCTCGCTCTTTCTCGTAAGGGTCGGGTGTTGTGTGTACGAGAGGAGAGAAGGGCAAGGGCACGTACGTGCGATGGTTGGGGATGGAGGGTTTTGGTTGGTGAGATTCTTTTTTTCTTCTTCTTCTTCTTCTTCTTTCCTCGCTTCGATGATCGGGGAGATGGGAATGGGAATGGGAATGGGAATGGGAAGAAAGCGGGTTTGCGTTGGTAATCAACGGAGAGAAAGGATGGGGCTGTGCGTGCGGAGTTTAGGGAGAAGAAGGTTATTTTTTATTGATTTTGATTTTGGGATTGATTCTGGTACTGGGATTGAATTTGGGATGGAATTTGGTACTGATGCAGATCAATGATCATCCGCGAGGACGTTGGAAATATTGGATTTGGTGGAGATGGCTAGGGAGCGAGGAAGGGGGTGGAGACATTTTTTTCTTATTTTCTATACCTAGGTACCTAGTTCTGCACATAACGATACTAACAATACTAACAATACTAACAATACTAACAATACTAACAATACTAACAATACTAACAATACTAACAATACATAATACTCATATTACAATAATGACTCATGTACACATTGCATCGCTCAATACAAAAACACATACACACTTCCACAAAATTAAACATCCATTCAATTCCCCATACCTGGTCCGGTCTGGGGTTGGCAATCCCGTAACGTATCGGTGCCGAGTACATGAATCATAAAAATCACAATTGTGATTTCGACACTCAGGTGGAAATTTCCATTTCAATCTCAATCTCAATCTATTTTTTCCTCTCGGGTTCTCCGGTCTTTAGTCATCTCGCGTGAATCATCGTACGATAATTGACTATCCTGTCTTGCTTTCGCCGAATCTTGAAAACGGCATTGGAAAGTAACAATGGATTGTCTGAGTTGGACGTCAAAAGTGTGTTGGTTTCTTTGGCATGGGGGACGTCACTTTCTGGTTTCTTGGTTGCTGGAATTCTTGTTTCTATTCTTGTCTTTGTTTCTGGCATGGGGGTATTGACTTTTGGGAATTGGTTTTGTATGGTATCTTAACTTTGGGATTTTGACTTTGATTTTGAGTTTGGTGGCGCTGTTCTTATTTTAGAAAGAAACTCAGGGGGGCTTCGAATCGTCGGAACAAATCTGTATCGGCCCAACGTATCATATTTCGTAATATTCCATCGTACATTTGAGAACCACAGGCAACCGTTGCCACATGTTGAGCTAGGTATCCAAGTGTGGACTTAGAGTTTGGATTTACATAATTTGCAATAATTGAGTACTTTTAGAGTTCAGAAAGATACCCAGTTAGGACTAGCTTTTTTCGTGGAAGATATTGAGACTGGAACAGCTCAAGACATCCATAAGAGAGATATAGTAGGGACGATCCGGCATGAGCCGGCCTGTCAAGAAAAAGGCTGCCATGCACTACGCATACATTCTCAGACACTGTGGATTCATGCAAACCGCTTGGGAGATATCGTGGCGGCATCCATTTGGTGGAAGAAAGACGAATCGGAAAAGGTGCAAGCCATCCATTAATAGACATGTTTGAGCAATACGTGCAAGAGAACCCCCACAGTAATAGTGTTTGCAATAGCTCTTGTATGCATATGAGTCAGTATGTGCTTCTGCGCTGACGATGCTGATTTCCTGGGTCTCGGCAGAACGATCAAGATAAATTCAGGGGGGTTTTATTGCATGCAGATCATACAGACGATGATATTGCATTGTTCACACTAATGATTACTGACATATACATCGTGTGTCCCAATATAGCATTGTTGACATACTCAAGTATATCTGATCAATATTTAATGTAGTGTATCAGAAGGCACGAATTATCAATCCAATGGTAGATGCAAGGCGAGCATTCTTGTCGTGTTATCATTAATACTTCGTAACACATCGCAGCTTTGCTTTGACGCTACTCGAGAAGATGATACTGACAAGTCAGGAAAGTTCGTATAAGCTTGGAAAAGTAGCATTCAGAAACAAGGCGACGAATTACCCTCCTATCAGGTGTACCCAGACGCTTCCAATAAATCATATGTGGAAAGAGATGCATTATCTAGCATGATGTTCTTCGAGATATTGATTAATAGCTGATGCTCGATAAAACAAGGCAAGAAGGAGCTCCAGAAAGATATACATTGACAATTACTGCAGCCTTAAAGAAGTAATCCGAGACTGATCTCGTCAGTATCATGAGACGTCAGTATATCATGTGGCTCTAACTACTCGGGCATTTCCGGAAGCTGAACACTATGGCTCTCAGATTCAGATATTAGAATTCGTCTGCAGAATCTGCAACTGTGCAGACAGTGTATAATTTTGAGGTTGCACGAAAAACAATCAGTAACGCTTTGAATAATTGTTGGGAAGTACAGGTTTTGACCCCCATTGACTATCGTGAAGCCTTGCTTCGCTCTCTCAAGTTCACTTCTTATCTCCTAGTTGCTAATGATTGTCTTGAAATATTTCGAACAGACAAAGAGAAGAAGGTTCAACGACTATTTCCTGTTGGTGAAACAGATCCTCTTTCATTACCGGGTGAGATATAGTTACGGAGTCTATTAATGGTGATAGTAATTGACAGAAAGGATAATCATGATGAATGAAAATGGACAGGTTTCACGAATGATAACACGAATTGGGACACTGACATTACAAGTGTCAGAACTTGAGATGGTATTCGCTTCATCAACCCTAAGAGCATGTTCGTTGCCAAGGTCTTCCCGAAAGAACGATCTCTGCAGATCATGCACCTATAGACTTAGGAAGAAAGTATTAGCCACGCAACACGATAATAGCATTTCCCTATTTTGATGACTGCACGCTGCATGCAACTGATTCTGAATTTTGAGAGTTGTTGCGAGCGAAAATCGTATGAGATCCATATTCCCGTAGATTTTTCGAACGAACACCTAATCAAACCCATCTTCTGTCGAGGCCCTCAACTTCGCATATCTCCTTCCAATCGCTCCAATAGAAAAGTCAGATGACTGCCACAGTATGCGCACTAGCGAAACACAAAAAAATGCACAGGGGGTGGTGCTACTTGTACCTGTGTGATGTAGAATTGGATGGTACATTCATATAAATCCCTGCACAAACTTCTTCAAACTCGTGCCCAATTGTGCTTGATTGTGACGCAGAAGCATATTTAAATGATTTGGAGTTATGTAAGAAAGCCTAGCGAAGACATGTGAAAGTAGGTCAGCCCACTTTGCTCTTACAGACTTGAATATTTCGAGTGGAAGTTAAAGAAAATTGTGTGGACAACCATATGAACTTTCTATGATATTCTTAATCATTCAGGTCAAAAGTCGTTGTTTTGAAGCAGCTATCTTGAGAGTAGTGGGTTGAGAGCTATAGGATCGTCGTGTAAGCCCCAGTGCTGATAGTGCCTGCTGCGCCACTGCTTTGATATCCCGGGGGATTGTGATACCAATGCTTAATAAATTGAATTCGAACATTAAGATTATTCGAGAACATCAGCTCCTCCCAACCATGATGCATTGTGTGCTCGGAAGCCAATATGTGGTCGGCGTTTGAGTCTGAGCGACAATTGACTTGCCTATATTGAAGACATTAGACCATGTATACAGATTCAATTGACTCTGCTATGATGCTATTGTTTTTAGCTTTTTCCAGAGGCTGAAAAGATCTTTGGGTCATGCTGTCATATGGTTTCATTTTTTAATAGCAACGTCGAGCGATTAATGGGACCAAAGAAGAATTGCAGGCGAACAAGAGGTTGGATGATGTCTAGGACACTTTTCGTTCCGGAAGAGACTCTGTCCTTGACAATGACCATTCGAGAAATGAGATAAGGACGAGGGGGTATCAATCCTAGTTCCTACTTGGATTGCTAACGGCTGAACCGTGCAAACGGCTTTCGGCAAGGACCCTTGATAATTATCCGAGTTTTGAATTTTTAATGAGCGATCCGGTAGTGATTTAGAGTTTCGACAACTGCAAGGACTCTTGATCGGCGGCAATTTGGTCGGCTGTGAATCTGTGATGCATATACATTACGATGATTCCTCAAGCAGATATACAGTACTGTCTTATTCGAAACCCTCCTCGAACTTTTCCTTCCAAGGTGACCTATCTACAGCAATTTCATAACCACAAGAACAATGAAATTACGAACGGATAATAGCCAATGATTGACGTAGAAGCGAAATTCTATTGAAAATCCTGGTCCTTGTTTGGCCGGGGATTGAGGTCAACCTCATTAGACGTTTAAGATAATATCGAATTTCATCCTTGAATCACTCATCCATCCGGTCCTATTCTTAAAAACCTGTAAGATGGAGCCCTGGCTTTAGGATACGAATTCCCTTGACTCTTGAATCTCAAATCTTGATATGTACCCCAGCCGAGATTTCAATGGTGTGGAGATTGTTAGAATGAACATTTGCTGTCCTGGTTTCGACTCGAATTGTGCTCTAATGAAATTGATTTGTTGATGTATTTGACTTTTCCGCACCCCCGAATTATTTCTGGTTCGGGAATGTAGCCCGAGACATGAAGACGACACTCTCCGTATTGGGCTTTCCCATTGATTCATCGCTTTATCTTCTAGACATACTCTACCACATTTAGTGCCACCGCCAACTAAGTGATACATTGATGCTCAATATAGAAAAAAAAGGGGTCTACTGAAAGTACCGATACCGTGTTTGGTTCCGCAATCCGTCGCCTTAAAGGAGCTTGATCTGTGCAGAGTGTCTCGGGAACGTTGATAGAACTGCTGCTCCATACTTTGCAGAAGTTGCATAGAGACCAGAGTCTGCTACCAAACAACCTATGAATCCTGATATGATGTGGAGTAGCCGGCACAGGGTTGGCAGCTTCCCCGATGTTAGAACTTGGGAAAACCTTCATGGAGTTCTATTGTGGATATCAATGAATGAGTTTCAGCGCGGCCAGTTTAAGTACCGGCATATACCTTGCAGGGCTCGCACTTCTTG